AATACGGTAAATTTTAAGTTTAACCCCGTTCGTAAGTCTGGGACCTCCTGAATATACTATAGTGAGGTAACATAATATACAATACATCACATTTTCTAACTCTGTTCAAGCTGGCTACTAAATCAATATGTTACGAGTTATGAGGTGGTGAGATAGTACGATATTGAAATGAAGATGACAAAATGTCCTCTTTATTAGTTATCTTTTTACTGTATGTTAAGTCAACTAGGTATGAAATGTAGACTATAATCCTCTTATTTGCCACTTCAGCTGTCTGCTATTTATTCTAATACTGTACTACTATCATCTCTCAAAGCCTCCTCTGCTTTTCTACCATTTTCAGTCTTTTATTTCATCCACATATGAGGAGGCCACTGGTTTAGGCTTCATCCAAGATAGTGTACAGTATACAGTACTGTACTTCCTGGAGAATGTGGGTTTAAAATCACTGCTTACAAGGATGATTCATTTAACATATCAGGCAAAAATTATTACAAGTACAGTAATTTAAAGGTTTTAAGTGCAATTCAGGGCAACTGATTTAAAATATGCAAGACCTGTATGAATCTACAGTACAGTACAGGGGTGTACTGTACTATGGTTTGCATGTTAAATGTTGTATTTTGATAGAGAAGTGTGTGCAGAGGCTTGCAAGGATCTTTGTGCATTACTGAAGTTTTGCAAAAGTATTTTAAAATGTACAGTACTGTACATTGGAAAAAGTATACAAATGCGGGCAGTACAGGTAAATGTCTATTTACAATGTCCAAACCTATGATAATTTGCATTAACGATGCTCATACTGTATATTAAGACCACTCCCCTATTTGTGATGCAAACAAACTCGCTTTAACGATATTCATCATCCTGCCAAGGTGGTATGTGGAACACATCACTCACTTCAATTGTCAGCTGAGGCATCATCTACGCGAACGCCACCTCATAGCCATCTGGTGAACTAGTTATTGTTTTTCTTGGTTACATGTGTCTAAGAAATGGAGCTCAAGGTTTATTGGTCAATATGTTTTTTTTTTTTTAGAGCATCAATTTTTTTTTACCTTACAGTGAGAGAACATCACTAAAGTTCATATTGTACAGTACTCTGTTTTGGTGATTGTGAAGTGATTTTTGCTATGCTCTTTGTGACTGAAAAGTGCTTTGCCTCTCTTGGTGTGAACACAAGGTGAGCACTGAGCAGCGACAACCATTATTTTTAAGCTATCATTGCTTTTTTCACTTACAGCTACAAGAAATTATTTTTTTTTAAGTGTACTGTACTATACAGGTACAGTACATGTACTCAGTTTTAGTGACAAGTGTTTTCTCTACTTTAGTGACTGTGAAGTGCTTTCCCTGCATTAGTGTTTGTGAAGTGTGTTTGCACTGACTGTGAAGTGCTTTCCCTGCATCAGTGATTGTAAAGTGCTTTCCCTGCATTAGTGATTGTGAAGTGCTTCCCCCTGCATTAGTGATTGTAAAGTGTTCTTGCACTGACTACAAAGTGTTTTCCTCTGCTTTAGTGACTGTGAAGTGAACAGTGTGACTTTGAAAATGTCTAGTAAGTCATTAGCTCACCATCTTAAAGGCCAGGACGAAGGCTACACCTCCAGTCCCCACTCTTCAGACTCCCCCAAAGTCTGTGTAGGACTCGGGTTGATGTCTCCACTCCACCTTAGCCTTGAAGGGGACATGTGATGATGACCAAACTTGTCCATAATGATGTGGTGAGTGTTGTTTAATTGTGTTGTAGTACTAGTAGTATTCTAGGATTTTTTTATTTTATTTTGTTTTTCGGTGATACATATGGGTATCCAACTGGCCAGGAATCTATCCCATTGAACCCCATGTTATAATGAACCTGATTTACGATATTTTGACCTGCGATTGGATTTTTAGGAACCTAACCCCATTGAAAATAGAGGTTTACCTGTACTAATTGGTTACAGGCAGACTCCCATTTATGAAGCACTATTATACAAAAATTCTCACATTTTAATTTATGAACGAAACTGAAGTAACGAAGAATTTTAATATATTTTTATAATATATTTGCTTAGTAATAAAAATATGCTGAAATAATGCATTTTTTATCACCTGAAGAATCTCCACCCGAGGTAGTGCTAGGATGGAGTTTCTAAAGGTGGAATGGGCTGGGGTGGAGAATCTTAAGGTGATCCGTGTTTTTTTTTTCACTCCGAGTACAATACAATATAGTACAGTACAAAACAGTACAGTACAAAACAGTACAGAGCACAAAACAGTACAGTACAGTATAGTAAATACAAAACAGTATAGTACAGTACAAAACAGTACAGTATAGTACAATACAAAACATAGTACAGTACGGTGTATAGTGCAGTACAAAACAGTACAGTACAATACAGTGCAAAACAGTACATATCAGTATAGTAGAGTACAATACAGTACAGTATAGTACAATACAGTACAGTACAATATAGCACAGTACAAAATGGTACCGTATAGTACAGTACAAAACAGTTCAGTACAAAACAGTACAGTACAATACAGTACAGTACAATACAGTATAGTACAGTACAATATAGCACAGTACAAAACAGTACAGTACAATATAGTACAGTACAGTATAGTACAGTACAAAACAGTACAATATAGTACAGTACAAAACAGTACAATATAGTACAGTACAAAACAGTACAGTATAGTACAGTACAATATAGTACAGTACAGTATAGTACAGTACAGTACAAAACAGTACAGTATAGTACAGTACAGTATAAACAGTACAGTATAGTACAGTACAATATAGCACAGCACAATATAGCACAGTACAAAATGGTACCGTATAGTACAGTACAAAACAGTTCAGTACAAAACAGTACAGTACAATACAGTACAAAACAGTACAGTATAGTACAGTACAATACAGTATAGTACAGTACAATATAGCACAGTACAAAACAGTACAGTACAATATAGTACAGTAGAAAACAGAACAATATAGTACAGTACAAAGCAGTACAGTATAGTACAGTACAATATAGTACAGTATATAGTACAGTACAGTATAGTACAGTACAAAACAGTACAATATAGTCAGTACAAAACAGTACAGTACAAAACAGTACAATATAGTACAGTACAAAACATGTACAGTATAGTACAGTAATATATAGTACAGTATAGTACAGTACAAAACAGTACAGTACATTACAGTACAGTACAAACCAGTACAGTACAATACAGTACAGTATAAAACAGTACAGTATAGTACAGTACAGTACAAAACAGTACAATATAGTACATTACAGTACAATATAGTTCAGTACAGTACTGTATAGTACAGTACAGTATAGTACAGTACAGTACAAAACAGTACAATATAGTACATTACAGTACAATATAGTTCAGTACAGTACTGTATAGTACAGTACAAAATGGTACGTATTGATAATACAGTATATAGCGCAATGCAGTGTTGATTTAAATAAAATAATCTTGAATTACACCTAGTGAACTTAAAATTTTATTGGTGAAATTACTGCATCAAGCTTGGGTCCTCTGAAAGGAGATTTCTCCTCCATCCTCAGGAACCCTCTACATACACACCTCAAAGTAAGTGTACTTTACTGCCTTTTTTTTTTTTTTTACTTTTTATGTACTTTTCTGTGAGCTGGAACCAATTACCCAATATCCCATTGAAACAATGGATTCAGTTAACAAAATTTTAGGTTAACGGAAGACTCTGTGGAACAAATTGCGTTCGTTAACCGAGGGACTACTGTATATTATAAAACTATAAAATAAGAAAAATGAAGAGTATGGGTGTGTATGTGTGGAAGCAGTGGCTCAGTGGGTTGTAGCCTGTAACTGTGTTGCTTACTCACCACCCAGCCACGGTTAACAAATTTATTGGCAAAGCTTGAAGTACAGTTTGCTTATTCTGAGAAATTCAGTCAGGTCTTGACACTAAGGGTGCTATCACTTTCATTGCCATGCAGGACAGAGGTTCATACACAAAGAAATAAATCACATTCATTAACAACATATATACAGGGTAGGTTAAAGTCATGTGGGTGATACCACTATTCACTGCCACATAGGACAGTGGTTCATATACAGTAGAAGTCATATTCTATTTGAGGACTAATCAGTGTGGGCTAGCAAATTTTGGATAAACAGCAAGAATGTCCTCAATCACTCCTGATGTGATGTCATGGCATTCACACATGTCTTTGAGTCAGCTTGGTGACTGCCCAACTGAACTGTGTTGTGTTATCCAGAGAATGGTTTAAGTGTGGAGGGAGCTATTTTTTGTACAGTACATAAAATATGTGCTGTTGTATTGTATGATATGCTATGTATCAAAATTTAATGTTTATCATAACATTTTTTTTTTAAATTTTGACATATGCATTTTGAAATGTTTTCAATTTTGTGCTTACTTCGTGCTCACAAAAAATTTCTTCTATAGAAGTTTGGTGTTAATAAATCAGTGTTAATAAATCAATCGTTTAACTTCAAAACCATTTATAATTCGTTTATTATTACCATACTCTATTATTATTAGGGAGTACTGGAAAATTATTAGGGAGTACATTATTGTAGTACTCAGTGTATACTGCCCTGTCGTTTGAACCTGTTGTTCGCTCTCCGTGCTTTGCAGTTATCCCTCATTTAGCAATAATTTCGCTTACTGTACTCTGCTATACTGCTTGTATTTCACCTCTATGTTTATTATTGACTTATTATCAGTGTGCACAGTACACCAAAAATTTTCATTAAAATTTTTTTTAGTGGCATTTCAAGATGTTTTGGGAGTTAGTTTCTTTTTCATAGGAACCCATCTCGGCACTTACAATGGGAATCTACGGGAAAATGTGCTTCGATTTACGAAAGTTTTCTCAGGAATGGAACCCCTTGGTAAATTAGGGTCTATCTATACTGTCAGTCACTTACTCTGAGCATAACAATTAAGCGATTGGCATTAGTAGTTAAAATGGTATTACTGTACTATGTACCTTGGTTAACATAAGTGGTGCAATGGTATTAATATGGAGGGTATCTGTCATCTGTTTCCAGTTGACCATATTTATGCGGGTGGACTTGGGGGCAACACCTGCATTGTTTATCAAGACGTTCAAGCCATAGGATCCAACAATCTCACTGATATGGCTAACCAGTGAACTGTAGCTTCTTTCATCCCCCACATCTGTAATAAGAGACAACTATAGTTTGTTTCATCCCCACATCTGTAATAGGACAAACATAACTTTACTTATCTCCCACACCTGTAACAAGAGACAACTATAGTTTGTTTCATCCCCACATCTGTAATAGGACAAACATAACTTTACTTATCTCCCACACCTGCAACAAGAGACAACTATAGTTTGTTTCATCCCCACATCTGTAATAGGACAAACATAACTTTACTTATCTCCCACACCTGTAACAATCTCCCACACCTGTAACACAATTAAAGTTTGTTTCATCCCTCACAGCTCTAAGAAGCTTTATTCATCTGCTCTGGAAAATATATGTTAAACAGGCACATTTGATAAGAAAAATGGACCTGGGGAGTTTACAAAAGTGTTGTGGCGAGATCAGAGTGAGACCAAATGTTAAAAAAGTGAAGAAACACGACACTGTGACCACTGGACTGTCTAAGAGTTCCACATTGAGAAAAAGATCAACATAATAATCCTAAATACGTGATAAAGTTACCAATGTCAAGAAAATGTCTAAAAGTATCTACAGTACCTTTAGAGAGTAGCTACCATGACAAAGATCAAGCTATAATAGGTATTTCTAGGATACTGACACACTGTACAGGTAATGAACTACTACCGGTAATTCTGACTATGGTTCTGTAAAAGTATTATCTTAGTTTTAGTCAATGGACATCAAAATACACAAGGAAGGAAAAACACAGTCACTTCTCACCAAGCTCAATGATGTGAATGTTATTGTGGTCTTCACTCATTTGCTTCAGTTCCTGGAAAACAAAGCACATTATTAATCATCACTATTGCCACCATCATTATCATCATCATTTTACAGCCATATACAGTATAACCCCGCTTTACGCGGTCAATTGAACCCACGGAGGCCCGCGTAAAACGGGAAATGCGTAAATGGAACAACAGAACATATGGGATTAATTGAAATAAAGACTGGGCCGACCCCCAAACTCCACTTTTTCAGACACAATACCTACGTTGTAGTAAAAGTAACTTCTTAATTTTATAATGGTATGCACACACAATTAATAATAGAGAAATATCAATAATATTAGGTTTTTTAACACTTACATTAGTAAAAAAGATGGCTGGGCACACGGGGATGGGGGGTTGGTTCCGAGGCAGAGGGCAGAATTGGCCCTCACCTCTATCACTTGTATCAATTGTATCACTATCCACTACAGAGGCTTGCAGGGCCTCTTTGTCAAACCCCTCAAAGTCCATATGAGTCCATATCCTCACTATCACTGACTTGGGCCAGCTGTGGTGGGTGGCGGGTGAAGAACTCGGTAATGTTTTGATGACTGGGCGACTTTGTGCGCACCCTGCCCGCGCCGCTTCCCGCGTATATGAGTAGATGCACAGCGTAAAGTGGGAATTCCAGTTCTGACGGGGTACCGCGTAAATGTGGAAACCCGTTAATGAGAACCGCTTAAAGTGGGGTATTACTGTAAAAATATTATCTTAGGATAGGCTAAAAAGAAAAAATACTACAATGTTGTCACTCTCGATTTTATTATTCGGTATCATCCAAACAAAATCTCCTGAAAATTTGGTGCAATTCCATAAAGTCCTACTAGTATTAACTGTATCCACCTTTACTAAAAAAATAATAATAAATAAATAAATAAAATATACCCGCCATACATTATTCTGTTACCTTCAGAATAAGGCCATCTAATGGGTCAAAATTAAAGTAATATTGAAGCAGATGGCTAACACCAGTTGTTCGATTTAATTTATTTTTTCCACAGATGTTCTTTGGTTCATAGTAAGTAATAAAATTGATACAACTTATTATTTTAATTTACCACCATAAATCACCTGTAGTGTGCAAGGCGGGGCCTGGACAAAAGCCCCTCAGTAAAGGTGCGAAATAGGACAGAAGCCCCTTGTTTTTATGTTAAAGAGAGGGTCACTAGAAATATTTAAAATATATAGATTTAATTATGAAATTATTACAATTTAAATAATTAGAATATTATAACTCTTTCAGTTTTGATATAGAACATTATTAAATAAATGGAAAAGAAAGAGAACATATTTTACCTTCATGTTCATTCTGTATTTACTGAGGTGACCCGAGGGCCCAGTGAGGTCACTGAATGTCAGGGGAGTAATTACCCCAGTAGACAAAACATACGCCAATGCAGATTTAATAAACATTCCTTGTATATTTCTTTATAACTATAACAGAATTCCCAAAGGTTAGGTTAGGTTAGGTTAGTGTTCATAAACTGTAAAAAAATGAATTATTTAAAAAATTCTTATTATTTCTCCTGGGGGACTTTTGTTCTAGGGGCTTTTGTCCTACACTCGTGCAAGGCACACTGTAACTATTCCCCTTAAAATCTGTCATTGCTAATGTGTGGTCATCTGCTCTGCTTGTTTACAACCAACCTGTTCAGTCCAAGTGTACTCTCACGTCTACAAAAAACATTAAATTATACCATGACGTTTCTTTCAGTAAAGTTGTTTTCATTGATACCAGATATCAAAATAAGTACTTTCTGTTTAATATGGCAAGGAAGCCCCACCCCTCCCGGGCTAGGAAGTTAGGTAGGTTTCTTTGGCTGGTTAATTCTACATGTCTCTTTGACATTTTCTCATAAATGTGTTTTTTTAAAGAAAATGAGGGTCAGATTTAAACAAAACACACCGGAAAAATAAATTTCCCTGTAAAAAACGCAGGAGGGGACGTTAAAGCGAATCTTTACTGCCATCTACTCCAGGACTGCCAAAATCAACTGAGATACTGTCAGTTTCATCACCTGTGCTGCATTAGGGTTCCTGCAGGCAGCTATGATGTGGTGGGGCGGGAAGCTGCTGCCTGCTAACTGCTTCACCATCTCCAACCCTAGGCCTCTGTTACTACCTGTAATTAATACACTGCGACCAATCATTGCCACAACTTAAAAATATAATTAACTGTCACTTCTCAGTTGTAACAAGTCATGCAGATTAGTCGGTGCAACCATAATAATAAATGAACCAATCTTAGAAAATAACTACGAACAAGGCCGCTAATCCTTTTTATTCATATTTCCAACAGATGACATTCATTTAATCTAATAATAATTTCAATTTCAGTTTTGTTATTATTGGTATTCATTTTATTCTTGATTCTTGTCTTGTGAAAAATAAATAGTTTCTCCGTGGTACAGTTCGTAGTAAAATTTTAACTTAAGTGTTCTGTGATCGTGTTTACGTCGTTTACAAAACTTTTACTTACTTTTACTTCCTCTTCAGCTCGTTAGCCGCTTGGGCAATCGGTCACGTTAATATATTTCGTAAAAAACCTTAGACCTGTTGTGCTGAAACTTATTTAGTACTCAGTAAGTTTTGGAGGAATGTCTGCCGGGGCTGTCATGAAAAAAAAATGATATAATAACACTAAATATCATATGATAAAAAATACACAGTTTGAAATTATTAAATATAACAAATTTCAGCGGGACCGACCTCCAAGATTACACCTTCAACTTTATGGGCCGGATTGATAGTCATTACGAAGCACAATGCCAATTGATAGTGTTCGTGCTGGTCTATTAATAGTCATCCCGATAATCGAGGTATCGGAAGGGAACCGTACGCATATCCCTGAAATGTTGGAAACAACATCGGGTGGCTACCCCCACCCGATAGCTGCCTTACGACAAATAATAATCATCATTATATTTTATGAAAGTTCTTCCAGTACTTTATATTACAGATGTCTACGTCGAATTATATTATTTTTTTTTTAATAAGAACAATTAAAAGAAGTGTTAATACGGATAAATGAACTTTCACAACACTGTTATGAACTTGAAACATTATTGGAATGTTGACATCACAGCTCCGACTGTTGTCTGTGCTGTGAGCCTCATCTTCAATTAACAATTACTTCTGTTATCATTTAAGGTATGTTTCTTATCTTTATTCATTCATACAATATTTTTGTCGTAGTAGTAATAAAATTTCAACCATCTGAACCACGAAATTCACTTATGTTTTCCGGAATGAGGCAAGTAGTTAGTAGGCAGCTATCAAACAGGGAGGTACTACCGCCTGGGAAGATATTGGCAGCATAATGTGTTGTCTAATGGTAGACCCTGCTGCCATATGTGACCAAGTCCCAGGTTGATGATCTGACTTTCTGCCTCATTTACACACAATTGCAGGGTTTCAATTGTTTCTCTTACTATTGACAACACAACATACAGTACATATAGCATTTCTAACTATTGATTATTATTATTTTTTCTTTATTATCATTATTACAGTGTTGTTATTATTGTTATTATTTTATTTTACTTTTAATTATAAATTTTATTTACTATGAATTATTATTATTATTATTAAATTTTCGCCCCCCAGGCCCCGATGTGGGTCATTGACCTGTGCCCAGGTGGGCTAATCCCCTTAAAAAAAAAAAAAGCCAAGTGAGCTCACTCTATCTTGAGTTAGCAAGGAAAATATCACAGTTTTTGGTCCAGTAATATAGTTTAGTATAAACGTTAATTTTCATTTTCAACAAAATATAAGCTAAGGTTTACGATCTACAATGTCTTGTGTGTCAGGCAGAAATATGACGACATAAGTAAGCATTAGATTTCATTTTCTTTATTCTTTAACTTAAATATTTACTGTCACTAATAAAATAAAGATTAAGTACAGCTTACTATCAATACAAATAATTTGCTCTAAAATTCTGCAATACTCGGCTACATCACAGTTTTAATGATACACACAACACCACTCTTTGGTTAAAAAAATCTATTTACTTTTAATTTTTACAATTGATATTTTCAGGCCTTTCTTTTCCTATCATTTATGGTGTTGCTTGTAGACCTGTCCTCAATGATTGACCTTTGCTCAATATGGCGCAAAAGTGCCATGCGTTGGGTTTCAGACAGAGCTGCAGAACGTTTTCTTACTACCTCCATGTTTGATAACACGAGCGCAAACATTGTTGCCAAGTACTCAGATGAAAAAATTATCTATTTTGTTTCGAACAGATAATAAAGTTCAATTTTATAAAAAAATATATTTTACAATATATTATTGTGCTGGTATAAAATAGCAACTAAATATCTCTCTAAATCGTTTTTCTAATTATGTGAAATAATACATTTGGCACTAGCGCATGGCCAAAAAATTTTTTGCCATCCGACACGAGCTGCCGTGTTTACACGCTCATGTAAGTGTCTAGGAATATGGCACTCAGCGTTGGGTGGTTGCATCCCGACACACGATCATCGAGATGATGATCGTGATCGTCATTATCGTCGTAATGACTATCAATACGGCCCAATGACAG